CCTCCCCAAGCTCCACCCCCAAATCTCCAGGGATTTCCCAAGCTGGAGCCGGCAACTATGCCAGCCCCCTCGGCACGATGGGTGGGTTCACAGTTCTCCCCACTGTTTCCAGGAGAAGAAAAACCCCAAGACGGAGTTCACGCGAGAGAACCTGATGATGACCGTCTACGACATATTCATTGCTGGGACGGAAACCACCAGCATCACCCTGAGATTCATTCACATGATCCTCATTGAACACCCAGCAGTGCAAGGTCAGCTCACAAACAAACCTCGTGCCTTTCTCTAGAAGAAGAAGAAGAAGAAGATGATGATGATGATGATTATTATTATTATTATTATTATTGCCAGTTCGGTGTAGTGGTTAGGACCGCAGACTCTAATCTGGGAGAACTGGGTTTGATTCCCCCCTTCTCCACATGCAGCTGCTGGTGTGATTTTGGATCAAGCACAAGTTCTCTCAGAGCTGTTCTCTCAAGGGCAGTTTCTGTCAGAGCTCTCTCAGCCCCACCTACCTCACAGGGTGTCTGTTGTGGGGAGGGGAAGGGAAAGGAGGTTGTAAGCCGCTCTGAGACTCCCTTCGGGTAGCGAAGGGCGGGGCATAAATCCAATCTCTTCTGAGAGCTAGTTTGGTGTCGTGGTTAATTGCGCGGACTCTAATCTGGGAGAGCTGGGTTTGATTCCCCACTCCTCCTCCACTTGCATCTGGCTGGATGACCTTGGGCAAGCCGTAGTTCTGGCACAGCTGTTCTTGAAAAAGAGCAGTTTCTCTCAGAGCTCTCTCACCCCACCTACCTCCCACTGTTGCCCCCCCAAGCCCCAAGAATACAGAGCATCACTGTCTCAGACATAGTGTTCCATCTACCTTATGGCTAATAGCCAATGATGGACCTCTGCCCCATATGCTCTGTACGTTTACCCAAAGTCAGTCAGGTTTTTCAAAACCCCTTCAGCATAACCAGGATCTTCTGGAAAGCTCTTTGCCAGATAAAAACATAAGAAAGGAAGGAGGTATGACAGATTGTTACCACAGGCTCAGAGGTTAAGATGCTGAGCTGCAGACCGGAAGGTCGGTAGCTCAGCAGTTTGAGACCCGAGTGCCGCATGGCAGAGTGAGCTCCCATCTCTGGCCCCAGCTCCTGCCAACCTAGCACTTCGACTGCAAGAAATTGCTAGTAGATAAATAGGTACGCCTTCGGTAGGAAAGTAACAGCGTTCCGTGTGCCTTGGCATCTAGTCATGCCGGCCACATGACCATGAAAAAGTCTTCGGACAGCGCTGGCTCTTCGGCTTGGAAACGGAGATGAGCACCGCCCCCTAGAGTCGGATTCGACTGGCTTTCGAGCAAGGGAAACCTTAACTTTATGACAGATTGTCCTTGTAAATGTCCCTTTTACTAATTGCTTTTCAGCAAAGATCCACGAGGAGATAGACCGAGTGATCGGCCGCGAACGAGCTCCCTCCATGAGGGACCGGCTTGAGATGCCTTACACGGAAGCCACCATCCACGAGGCCCAGAGAGTCCTTGACCTCATCCCCTTGGGATTCAGCCGCTTGGTCAAACAGGACTTTGAAATCCGTGGCTACACCATCCCCAAGGTACTGTCAGAACCCACAGCCAACAACAAAGTACACACATTCAGGAACGGTTATACTTTTATTGCAGAGCTATAGATGCAGTAACTTAGGCACTGTTAAGAATGATGGCGGCCCCTAGGGCATAATAAAATATAGGGTATTTGTATGCACACACACCCATAGCGTTGGCCAATTAGGCACCCTCCCGCATGCGGGATAAGGCTTAGAGACCATTAGGTAGCTGAAGCTGAGAACAAGCACTCTCCCACGACACCTAGGGAAAACCCAGACACCACAACACCCTCCTGCACAGCTGTATAGATAAGCGTTTCGGCGCACAGCAGAGAAAGCACAGAAAGGAATGCAGTAGCAATTAACCTGAAAGGAAAGCAATAGCAATTAACCAGATACAGACCAAACTCCCCAACCTTCATGGCAGCATAGCTGACAGTTACTTGGGACCGCCCCGGGCCGATCGCCTCCAAAGTTCCAGGCCACACTGCTTCTTGATCTGGGATGAGGGGCATTAACACATTATCCTGGTTTATGTTGCATCACCATAACTAGGTTTGCCAGCCTCCAGGTAGGTACAAAAACTGAGGGTCACAGTGTTAGGAAGGCATACAAAAATCTATATCACTGTGTACCTGATAGAATTTGAGAGATATGCTGTCTTAAAAGGTAAAGGTTCCCTTGCTCGAAAGCCAGTCGAATCCAACTCTAGGGTTGCGGTGCTCATCTCCGTTTCAAAGCCGAAGAGCCAGCGCTGTCCAAAGACGTTTCCGTGGTCATGTGGCCGGCATGGCTAAACACCAAGGTGCACAGAACGCATTTACTTTCCCACCAAAGCGGTACCTATTTATCTACTTGCAGTGTCTTGCTTTCAAACTGCTAGGTTGGCAGGAGCTAGAACTAGAGACGGGAGTTCACTCCGTCATGCAGCACCCTGGGTCTCGAACTGCTGAACTACCGACCTTCCACAGCCTGCAGTTCAGCATCTTAACCACTTGAGCCACCGCAGCTCCACGCTGTCTTAGATAGGTTATTATGTTTGCCACAAGGGTTCTGACGGGACCCTGGACAATGCTGCTACCTGAAGAGCTTTTGTGCTCACAAAATTTCGCTTGCACTGCTTGTTCCCTGTTATTTTGCCAGCTGACCTGTTTCCTGCAGATGGAAGCCATCTCCCATCTCCCATCCAGTAGGGTTGCCAGCTTCCAGGTGGGGCTTGGAGATCTCCCAGGATCCCAACTGATCCCCAGCCAAGATCAGTTCCAGTGGAGAAAATGCCGGCTTCGGGAGGTGCACTCTGTGGCACCACATCCCTGCTGCGGCCCCCTCCCCTCCCCAAGCCCCACCCTCTTCCGGCTCCACCCCCAAATCTCCGGGAATTCCCCAGCACAGATTTGGCAACCGTGCCCCTCCACCCTCTTTGTTTTCCAGCATCCAGCCTGGCGGGGAGTTCCGGAGAGCCCCAGAGTTCCGTGGTGTTCTGTGTCGCTCCGATTGGCCCTAAGAAAATCCGTCCCACAGCTCTCTTGTCTTTGGATTTCCCCGCAGGGCGCCACGCTCTTCACCATCCTGAGTTCTGCCTTACATGACCCCAAACAGTACAAGAACCCATATCAGTTTGACCCGGAGCACTTCCTGGACGAAAAGGGAGCCTTCAAGAAGAACGGCGCCGACATGCCCTTCTCGGCAGGTATGGGAGAAAGGCCCGGGAGGCAAAGGAGATGGGGGAAGCCTATTGGGACTCTCTATTGGGTTCTGTTATTAGAGAGTCAACAGGGAATGCTGCACACTCAGATAAAGCAAATATTGTGAAACGGATTGTTTTCATTGCGCAGTATTCGTGAGCGCGTGAGCGATAATAGAAGAAAGTTTTCTACAGAAATTACTACCGTAAACATCTTTGCAACTTACCTGTATTGACTCTTCATTATTTTTGTCACAGATGTTGTTCTTCCACTTCCTCCCGTGATCTCTCATTTTTGGCTTCTGCTGCCTGGAGGTTGGCAGCATTAGCAGTGGGAGAGCTCCCAAGCAGGCATGGGAAGGACACATAGGCAGGTGGGAGGAATCGGGGTCGGTGGGAGGGAAACTGGGTGTGCTTGGGAGCCCGGTGGTAGGTAGGAGGAAGCCCCCGGGAAACGCTCTGCCTGTGGCCCCTCAGCACCAGGACCCTGCCCTGCAAGGTTTGCTTCTTGAAGGCCCCTTTCTGTTTGTCTCTCCACCACAGGAAAGAGGAACTGTCTCGGGGAAGGACTGGCCCGCATGCAGCTCTTCCTCTATGTCACCACCATCCTGCAGAGCTTCTGTCTCCAGTGCCCACCAGGAGTCACCAAACTTGACCTGACGCCAGAAGTCAGCGGCTTGGGAAACATCCCCCGCCAGCTCCCCTTTTGCTTCACCCCACGCTGATCGCCTTCGAGTTGCCAACCGGTGTTCCCTCTAAGCTGAGTCAGTGTGAGCTGGCTGGCCGTTTTTTAGCCTCCGGCTCGCACGGTTTTTGTCTTAGCTCAGGAAGGAGGGCTCCAGAGCAGTGTTCCCTCTAAGCTGAGTTAGTGTGAGCCAGCTCACAGTTTTTTAGCCTCCAGCTCACACATTTTTGTCTCAGCTCAGGAAGGAGGGCTCCAGAGCAAACCAATTTATGCGGCAGCCAAATCGCTCGCTCACAACTTTAATGCCAGGAGCTCACAAAGTAGAATTTTTGCTCACAAGACTCCGCAGCTTAGAGGGAACATTGCTCCAGAGCAGACTAATTCATGTAGTAGCCAAATCGCTCGCTCACAACTTTAATGCCAGGAGCTCACAAAGTAGGATTTTTGCTCACGAGACTCCACAGCTTAGAGGGAGCATTGTTGCCAACACTGGGGCCCATTCTGCATCTAGCATTCGCTCCGTTTGTTTTGTCTGTTTTTGTTCCATTTGTTTTGTTTCCCTTTGTTTTACCAAACCCACACCGGAACAGAAAAAGATGTGGCTCAAAACCACATTCAGATACCCCGGGGGCCAATGCCGTACTGCCTGAAGAGTCACCCTTGAATGGCCATGAAACAGCCATAAAACTATGCAGACGGTACCATAAAACCGAGAGATCAAATCAAGTGAAAGTGGCCTGCACTTTGGTCACTGCCATAAAATCCGACAATTGATCAAAGCGAAAGTGACATGCAATGTAGAGGGGATTTTCTGTTCCAACGTGGATTTGGGAAAACAGCAGAGCGAATGCTAGGTGCACTCCGGACACTGCCATAAAATCCGACAATTGATCAAAGCGAAAGTGACATGCAATGTAGAGGGGATTTTCTGTTCCAGTTTGGTGTAATGGTTAAGTGCGCGGACAATAAATTTATTTTTAATTGTCTTATTTATCATTTATCCTGCAGCGCTCTCCCCAGTGGGGACCCAGAGTGGCTTACTTCATTCTCCTTCCCTCCATTTTATCATCACAACAGCCCTGTGAGGTAGGTTAGGCCCAGAGAGCGTGATTGGCCAAAGGACACCCAGCAAGAGCAGGGATTGGAACCTGGATCTTCCAAAGCCCAGTCTCTACCCAATATACCACACTGGCTCTCACATTTAACCCACCACTAGGGGTCTGCTTTATATGGGCTCTGCCCCAGGCTAACCCCAAAAGCAGCATCTGGCCAGTTTGGTGTGGTGGTTAAGTGCGCGGACTCTAATCTGGGAGAACTGGGTTTGATTCCCCACTCCTCCACTTGCACCTGCTGGATGACCTTGGGCAAGCCGTAGTTCTGATAAGAGCTGTCCTTGAAAAAGGGCAGTTTCTGTCAAGAGCTCTCTCAGCCCCACCTACCTCCCAGGGTGTCTGTTGGGGGGAGGGGAAGGGAGAGGAGTTTGTCAGCCGCTCTGAGACTCCCTTGGGTAGTGAAGGGCCATGGGGTATAAATCCAATCTCTTCTCTTCTTTTCCAACATGGCTTTGGTAAAACAGCGGAGGAAATGCGAGATGTAAAGTGGGCCTTGGTTGGGAAGTTCGTGGAGATTTGGAGATGGAGCCTGGAGAGTGAAGTCATTGGGGTATAATTATTGGGTTGCACGTAAAAAAAGACAAATCGTTTGTCTTGGAAGCAGAGAAGTATTAGCTGCTGCCAGTCTGAGTAGACAATACTGACTCTGATGGAGCCAGAGGTCTGATGCAGTGCTTTGTCTGTTCCGTGTGCATCCTGTCACTTCGCTACGGTTCGAGAGATTTCTGAAAGTCGATAAATATGGGAGCTCTAAACGGATAGTCAGCTTCTTCTCGGAGGATGCTCTGACTTCCCTTGCGACTCTGCTTGCTTTTGAGTAACGAGGCGAGTAGTGCTCTCTTTCTAATAGACCTATAGAATCCATGGCTGCCGTTCTACTCTTTTTGAGTTAAATCAGTATGAAAGGTGGCATATGCAGGACTGTTTTTGGGCAGGAACGCACAGGAATGGAGTTCCGGCTGGCTCCCAAGTTGGCCACACCCAGCAGGAGCTCATTAGCATAACAGGCCACACCCAACAGCAAACACTCATTAGGATTGGCTCCATTAGGGGTGTGTGGCCTAACATGCAAAGCAGTTCCTGCTACAAAAAAAGCCCAGGTTTTTTTAAAAAATAATTTCTCTTTATTTTCAAAAACATATAAGCAATCAAAGAAAAAAACCAAAAAAAACCCCCAAAACAAAAACATATATACCTGTTGCAACGCGTATATCTGCTAACCTGAAGTGACATCTTACAGTGATATTAATCTAATCTCTTTCATAACATATTTAAACATTCTCTTCCATTTAAACAAACTTTCCCATAGCAACTCAAAATGTTATTTTTCACCTTTGCTTAGGCAACTAGTGCATCAGCCCCAGTATAAGTTTCCTCATACTGGTATATTATTCCAGTCAAGGTATCTACATAGATCCACATAAATTATCCCTCCTTATTACGCAACACAACATATATTTCAAGCACTACATTGCTTAACTGCTGAAAAGCCCAGGGTTTTGACAACAAAGTAAACAGAATAAGAAGCAAAAGGTGGGTGTGGTTGGAGGACCACACTTCTGGTAACATGTGGGGTGTGGCCTAGTATGCTAATGATCTGTGCTGTCAGGGGTGTGGCCTAATATGCTAATAGCTCTCTGCTGTTGGGTGTGGCCTATTATGCTAATGAGTTCCTGCTGGGCTTTTTCTACCAAAAAAGCCCTGGGCATACGTGTATCTTAATCAAGGACAGAACGGAGCCAACGAGTGCGCACTGCATCCCAGGCTCAGGTGAAGTAGACACATCGTTGGCAGGACTGCCAAATCCAGGTTGGGAAATTCCTAGAGATTTGGGGGTGGAGCCTGGGGAGGGTGGGGTTTGGGAAGAGGAGGGGCCACCATGATGCCACAGAGTCGGCACTGCAAAGCAGCCGTTGTCTCCAGGGGGAAATGGGCTCTGTCGTTTGGAGACCAGTTGCAATTCCAGGAGATTTCCTGGCCCGCCCTCACCTGCAGGTTGGCAACCATAGTTGTTGGAACACCACGAGCTGGTAGATTACAAGTCTGAGGCACTAACTGGAACCCTCAGGATCACACCTTTGTCTGAATTTGGACTGGCAAGAGGCCTTCAAACATTCAGAGGCTGTCAACCTCTGGATCCCAGTGCCAGGAGGCAGCATCAGGGGAAGGCCTCGGCCTCTCTGCCCTGTTGTTGGCCCTCCAGAGGAACTGGCTGGCCCCTGTGTGAGACGGGAGGCTGGACTAGATGGACCCTCCCTGGTCTGATCCGGCAGGGCTCTTCTGGTGTTCTTCTCAGGGGAAGGCCTCGGCCTCTCTGCCCTGTTGCTGGCCCTCCGGAGGAACTGGCTGGCCACTGTGTGGGACGGGAGGCTGGACTGGATGGACCCTCCTTGGTCCAGTCCAGCAGGACTCTTCTGATGTTCTTATCAGGGACAGGGCTTGGCTTCTCTGCCCCATTGTTGGTTCTCCAGAGAAACTGGCTGGCCATTGTGTGGAACTGGATGCTGGACTCGATAGACCCTCCCTGGTCCGATCCAGCAGGGCCCTTCTGAGGTTCGTATGAAGGCCTCGGCCTCTCTGCCCTGTTGTTCGCCCTCCAGAGGAACTGGCTGGGCCCTGTGTGAGACGGGAGGCTGGACTGGAGGGACCCTCCCTGGTCTGATCCGGCAGGGCTCTTCTGAGGTTCTTCTCAGGGGAAGGCCTCGGCCTCTCTGCCCTGTTGTTCGCCCTCCAGAGGAACTGGCTGGCCGCTGTGTGAGACAGGATGCTGGACTACATGGACCCTCACTGGTCAGACACAGCAGGACTCTTCTGAGGTTCCTATCTGGGGAAGGCATGACCTGTTCTTGGCCCTCCAGAAGAACAGGTTGGTCCCTGTGTGAGATGGGATGCTGGACGAGATGGACCCTCCCTGGTCTGACCCAGCAGGGCTCTTCTGAGGTTCTTATCAGGGGAAGGCCTCGGTCTCCCTGCCCTGTTATTGGCCCTCCAGAGGAACCGGTTGGCCACTGTGTGAGACAGGAGGCTGGACTGGATGGACCCTCCCTGGTCTGACCCAGCAGGGCTCCTCTGAGGTTCTCTGAGGTATGTCAGATTCAGGTTGTACCCGTGTTATTTCCTACCTGTCTGTATCTTGTTTCCTATTGACCATCTGGTTCCCTTTCCCAGTCCCTTATCATGTACCCTCGCTGACATGGCGTTCCTGGGGGGAGGGGAGTGTGAATGTGCGAGAGTGTGGATGAACGTAGGAGTAGAGGATGTGCAGCTCTGTCACTCTTCCCAAAACAAGCACCTCAAGGCATGAGCTTTCACGGGCCTTGTCCTTGAAGAAGATAAGACTTTGAATGGCTAGTTGTATACCCATATATCTATCAGGGCCCAGGGTGTTAGTTTCGCTTGTGTGTGTGACTTAAGTGTGGAATGTAGATTTTGACTATACTGTGGGGCCTGTTGCTTTGCTCCCCAGTCCTGACAAAGGCTTTCCCTCCTTAGCATCTCAAATCTCTTCAATAAAGTTTTCCTAAAAAGAAAGCTATGTCGAGAGTGAGCTGACGGGGGTCTGACAGTCAGTGTCGTCAGTGTACAGGTTAGAGTATTGGGCCACAACCTGAGAGCTCCGGGTTCAAGTCCCTAGTGGGCCATGGGAGCTCAATGGATGACCGTGAGCCAGCCTAAACTACATCACAGAACATAAGAACATAAGAACATAAGAACATAAGAACATAAGAACTTGAATTCCTTGGAGCAAGGGCAGGATATTGATAGGTAGGCAGGTGACTATGGAGTCATTGACACGAGAGAGAGAGAGCAGGGGGGAGGGGAGGAGGAGAGAGAGAGTGAGAGAGAGAGAGAGAGAGAGAGAGAGACTAAAAGTGAATATCTTCCATAGCAACAGAGCTGGCAGCAAAGAAGAAACAGAGAAAAGCCACTTGGGAAGAAGCTGGTCTTGGTGGTGGAATAATGTCCCCAAAGCAGCATGGCACGTTTTTAAATACGGCACTGGGCTGGTTAAGAACATAAGAACATAAGACGTCGCCAGTGTTAAATACTGGGTTCTAGATGCATTGCAGTGATCAGCTCTAGTTTCTTCAGCGATTTCAGCACACTACAAGGACAGCCTAGCAGGGCTTGAGCCCTGCTTGTAAAGCATGCACACACCACACCCAACACGCTCCTACTCTCAGTGATAGGCTGTTTACATTACAACACTTATCTACTGGTTTGTTCCAGGATCCTGGCGAGCTATTGTTCTAAAGTGGCAAGCTCAACCGGTTCCTAGAACAGCTTGAGGAATGGCTCAGTACACAACACACACACACATGAATGTGACACAAAGTCCTTGCAAATTACAATCTCAACAGTGCATATTTTATTACGGGAGACTGATGTGTAAGGACAAGAGAAGAGAAGGATGCTGCGTGAGAAGCGAGGCGGGATATGCGAAGCGCATGAGAAGCCTGCAGGCGCAGCTCCCCGGGGCTGCAGGGCTGTCGCGGTGCCCCAGGAGGGACGGCCGCCATCTTGAGACTGTTGCTCTCCGGCCCTTGCTAACCACGTAGTCGCAGGGCCGCCAAGGCGATGCTGACCCCATGCTTCTTGATGCCACGCTTGGCTTTCCCCCAGAATCTTCTCCAGCGGCTCCTGGTGATGCGGTCCATCTACAGGCGGGTAAGGACAGAGAGACAAGGGTGAGGAGTTGTGACCAAGCCAGGGTTTGCAGCCCGCTGCATGTCTTTGGCTGGCTGCCTCCAAAACTGACAGCCAAGCAGCCAGGATCTCCTCCAGTCCTCAGGACTCAAAGGTCCACTTAAAAAAAGAAAGAAAGCCGCTACTTGAGTCCCTTTCCTCCCTCAGCACAGATTCCAGTGGTCGAAGGCCGTTGCACCCGCTACCCATCTGCTCCCACGTTCCCTCTGAGTTGAGTTCGTGTGAGCCAGCTCAGTTTTTTAGCCTCCGGCTCACACCTTTTTGTCTTCGCTCAGGAAGGGATGGCTCCAGAGCAAACTAATTTACACAGTAGCCCAATCGCTCGCTCACAACTTTAATGCCAGGAGCTCACAAAGTGGAATTTTGGCTCACAAGACTCCACAGCTTAGTGGGAGCATTAACGAGGACGGACTCAGGAATCCACTGTTTGGTGTAGTGGTTTAGTGCGCGGAGCCAGTTTGGTGTAGTGGTTAAGTGCGCGGACTCTAATCTGGGAGAACCGGGTTTGATTCCCCACTCCTCCACGTACACCTGGCTGGATGACCTTGGGCAAACCGTAGTTCTGATAAGAGCTGTTCTTGAAAAAGAGCCGTTTCTGTCAGAGCTCTCTCAGCCCCACCTACCTCACAGGGTGTCTGTTGTGGGGAGGAGAAGGGAAAAGGAGTTTGTAAGCCGCTCTGAGACACCTTTGGGTAGTGAAGGGCGGGGTATAAATCCAATCTCTTCTTCTTCTACTTCTATTATTTCTACAAGATGTGCTAAAAGGATTATACCCTTTGGGAAGAATTCTACATATGCTCAGAGGCACTCTTT